CAGATTCAGGAATCTCCCCAACGTTCTCAGCCGTGAAGACTGAAGCAAAGAAATCATATAGTTTCTCCGCAATGGCTTTATCGTCCTTGATTGCTCCTTTTATAGCTCGATCATCTTTGGGACCCACAGGTTTTTTAGCAGGCTTCCTGCTTCTAACGTACTTAAACATTTTGTTATTTCTTTTTGAGTTTTTGGCTAGCTGTTCCTCAATCTTTTTTTGCTTTTCTTATTACATTTTTACACTTGATTTGACAGTGTTTATGTTCCTTTCTATTTATCTCACTAGGATTGGACTTCCACTTCTTAAAATATACCTTTTTGTCCCTCACTGCTTCTTTTACATGGTGGTTAAGCCACAGTGACTCTTTTTTAGGTCTCTTGCTATGTTTTTTAATTTGGGGTATACATTTAAGTTGGGCCTCTATTATGGTGTCTTTAAAAAGTTTCCATGCAGCTTTCAGGGATTTGGCTCAAGTCACTGTGCCTTTTAATTTCTGTTTAACTAACCTCCTCATTTTTGTGTAATTCCCCTTTTTGAAACATTTTGCTGTCAGCTAGAAGCCTACACGAGGATGGAGTCTCGTGCCAGGCACTGTACAAATGTGTAGTAAATAAAACTCTGCCCCCAAAAGGCTCAGTCCTATGGTATAACAACATCATCGTTTATCCAAAGGATTTATTTTGTGTTGAGGGTAAAAAGACTTTAAACTTAAAAAGTGGATTTTAAATAGTCAAGTATTTTACAATAGCTGAAAGCTTAGTGGTTATGACTAAATATAATTAGTTCTCTGGTAATCTTAAGTCATATCTACCCAGGGAATTTTTACAAAAAAACATTACTAATGCCTGTTCACAGCGCTGCTAATAGTTTTGGTAGTTATAATGCAGCTGGCTCTCTGATAACAGTTTTCAGCACTGTCCTGATACACTGCTGCCATGTAATCATGCTGAGCTATGTTAACTATGGCATTACCGTGTTGGAGTCTGGTTGCACTTAATGTGATTCCATGTGTAGGTAGGGCTTTAAAGTACAAATAAAAACTGACCAAAGTGATAAATTTTGAGCTGCTCTCCTATGACTTATCACTGAGAAGCCCTGGGTCAAATTAAGAATATAACTGATGAGCAAATTTTAAATCTGGTGAAGTTGTGCTGTTATCTTAAGCAGAGTTTAAAGTCAGTGGGAGAGGGAGGAACTGTGGTTGAACACAGTTCCTTCTCCTTTATAAACAGCAGACTTTGTCTTCATTTCTCAAGCTTGAGGGGAGTGCATTTCTCTCAGGGTTCCCCTTTTAGTGGCTTGTGAAGTAAGGACAGTGGAATTTGAATTTTGAACAAGATAACTTAAACAACAGTGGTCCTGTAGCACCTTAGAGACTAACCAAAAAATATATAGATAGTATTGTGAGCTTTCATGGGCGCAACCCACTTCTTCAGATGAGACATATGGAGCAAGAGACAAGTGGGTTGTGCCCACAAAAGCTGATGCTACTATCTGTATATTTTTTTGGTCAGACTCTAAGGTGGGACAGGACCATTGTTGTTTGGTTTTGGGTTTTTTTTTTAAAGTTACAGACTAACATGGTGAAGAAGAGGCATTGCTACTGCCTGGCTGGGAAATTTCTGGTCTTGCAAGCTGCCTTCCCAGTAGATAGAACAACAGCATCAACTGATCGGAGACAAAGTCCCTTATCTGTCTCTTCTACAAAAGTTCTTTCCATTAATAGCTCCAAGGAACAGTGTGGATACAAGAGCAGACACCAGCTCCTTCTTCTCTCCTCATTCAAGAGGGGAAGGAGTCCAGGATCCCTGTAAACAGTGTTATCTCCTTCTCTTCAATGCCCTGTAGTGAAGTGGATGTGGACGTAAATTTAGGTGAGGTAAAAAAAAGTTTTACATGGGAACAAGAGTGCAAGGATGTATGATTAAATAGAACCTTGGAGGGACCAGATGCAGCCATGTGCCAGACAAGAGGAATGAGTTTGAGAAATCCAACCAAATCAAAACAAACAAAACTCCCTAATCAGAAGAGGAGACAGGGAAAATGGGAGTGATATAAAAGGATGTACAGAAAACTCAGTAGACACAATAACCCATTTTAAAATGATTGTTGCTTAATTCCAATACATTGTGCTCTTCAACATTTTTATACTGAGTATTTTATTGTAGGTGTGTGGCAGCAGGTTAGGGGAGATGCACAGTCTGAAATATTTTTGAGGCTAGGGTGGAAAAAACTTGCCCTGAGCCTGCTTTTTCGTTTTGTTGGTCTCTTTACTAGCTTTTATTCTGCGTCAACAAGTTACAACAAAATCATAGATAAGTTAAGTGGTTTTTTTTGTGTTTACTTAAAAATAGACATTTTATAATATTTTCTAAAATGCAACCAGTTAGATATTTTTAAAAATGGAGGGGAAGGATGCTTGAACCCTCCATTTTTGTTTTTGTAGCAATTCTGTTCTCCATCCCTGCCAAATTGAAAAGATGACATTTATAAGAATTGATAGTGGATTATAAGGTGTTATGTACATGTACAGTTGCATGTAGTTTATCTTGCTTGGTTGGCCCTTCATTGGAACTTTTCAGCTACATTTCTTTTCTTCCCTTTCTCTCTCATAGTACATCCCATCACCATAAGATGATGCAGTGCTACATCATGATATTACTTTGAGACCTGTTCCCGAGACCACCAAAACTGGTGAGCTTCCTCTTCTGCTTTGTTTTACTGTGACTACTGTTTATAGGGATTTGGGAACATAACTGCCTTTTTGCTTATTCAGTCACCTTTGGAAGTGACAGATACTGTAAAGGAAAAACAATATTTTTGTCACATTTGATTAAAATATTGCAAATAGTAGGGTTGTCTGATATTGAAAAAAAATCACTGCTGCTATTTAGGAAGCTGTCAACTATTGTTGAAACCATTTTTCATGAAGTGGTGATTGAAATGGAGGTCTGAGCTGAAAGCTACCTTAAACAAAAGCAAAAAAAAAAGTTGCATTTATGGATGCTGTGTAACTTCCGTACCTCCTGGAAAAAAGTTATCAGGAGGTATGGTTTCTTAAACAGGTTCCTGTAATCTAATGCTGCTGCAGAGATGTTTAACAGATTGTTAAATAGATATTCTTGTCTGGCACATGGCTGCATCTGATATATGGCTTGAAAAATCTCTTCACTTAGGGTTAAATGGAACCTTTTCTAGTCTGCCATCAACTTCTAGTCTGCCATCAACTTCTGCAGAATCTAAGGTTTCATGTAAAATTTCTAATCCTTCCTGGTTACAAAGATAACCTACCAAGTACTGTATTAACCAAAGTTGTATTGTCTCAAGTTTGCAGAAGTGTAATGTGCCTCTCCTTCAGTTTGCTTTGCAAACTACAACTGTGTGAGATTAACAAAAATTGTCAGTTTCAAAACTTTTATTGAGAGCCCTAATGGGCAACATTGAAACTGGTACGTTTTGTTTTTTTTAAACTGTACAAGGAACACACATTGAAGTTGTTCCCTGGGAGAAGAGGCTAGGTGAAGAGACATTCCTGTGGAATCAGCCAGAAAGTTACAGAGTAAACTAGTTAAGAACAACACAAATCCCTGAAGCAGCAAGCACTGCAGTTAAGGATTGAAATAGTGCAATCTTTAGGGACTGGAGATGGCTGAGGCATTTCAACTGTATCACTTGTCTTGTGTGGTTCACATACAGCAGTGGTTCCCAACCTTTAGAGGCTCCCGGGCGCCCGGGAGGTGGGGCCACTCACGCGCTGGGCGCCCGGGGGCAGGGCCGCTCATCCGGGCGCACGCCAGGGGACTAGGATGCCCTTGCACCTGGCACCGGTGTGTGTCCTAGGGCCGGGGCTGGGGCCGCCCGAGCGCCTTGTGCCGTGGGCCCGGGGCCGGTGCTGCCGCCCGAGCCACACGCCTGGGGCCGGCACCGGCGCCACTCGAGCACCACGCTCCCTCATGTGCCCCGGGGCTGGGGCCGCCTGAGCACCGCGCACCCAGCGCTGGTGCGTGTCGCGCACCTGGGGCCGGCGCCTCCTGTGCGCCTGGGGGCGGGGCCGGTCCAGGTTTTCGGCGGGCGCCAACGAATGCCCCGGCGTTGGGGACCACTGACATACAGGATTCAGGGACTTAACCCTGTAGGATCCTAGCATTCTTCCATTTCCTAGCAAAAACGAGGATGGCTGGCTTTTTGTAAAGCATTATTTCTGAATGTTGGTGCCCCATCTTGCATTTAGGAGTAATCAGGTGGGGGTTTTGCCATTTACTTCAGTGGGGCTAGGATTTCACTGTCTCCAGCTTGCTTAGTAGGAGACTAGCAAGTTTCACCTAACAGCACTTCATGAATAAGGCGGAACAAAAGTGAGAGAAATAACTGTAGGATGAGTTAGGAAGTAGTTTGTAAATGTAGCTTTTTTTCTTTTTTTTTAAGGGAAGGGAAAAAGATAATTAAAGCAAAAGCTCTAAGTGAGACCAGGTAAAGAGGATTTGCAGAGATACTTCAGAGTTAATACTGAAATACTTTTTACTTCAACTAGCTTTTCAGTTAGTTACATAATATTTGACAATTACAAGATACTGGTGAAATGTAATGAATAAAAGTGCTATTCAGTCAGTTATATAGAGTTAAACTTGGAGAACATATGAAGTAGACATTTGATTAACATTTTAAACTAAATATAGAATACAGAGTATACAACTATTGTGTCTGTTAAATTGCTAGCTAAGGATTGTCTCTGTGCATTACCATATGATCATGGCAGCATAGGCTTCATTCTGGCTACTAGGTTTAGACCTCAGTGTCGCAGGTATTGAGTGGATTTTTGACAAATGCATGCTTAATTCAGGTCTTGACATATGTCTAAATACATTTTAGAACTGCACACTGTCATATGAAGATGTTTTAAGGTTAATCAAGCCCTAACTGGTTTCTAAAATTTGACTTTAGTTGTTCCATGACAGTAAATAGACTGCATTATGCTTGGAACAAGACTATACTTACATTTTTACTTTTAATGAACTTCCCTGTGATCTACAGTATTTTGAAGTCAAAATAATACCAATTGGTACTAGCAGAGTTGATGAAGGCTTCCTTCCTGTTGAAACTGGCTAGCAGACCAATACAAACTGTAGCTTGTGTTTTCTTTCAATGCAGATCCAATGGCAACTCTGTGGAATGTGTCTTCCACTCCCTAGCAATGAGCAGGAAGTGCTTGCCAATACAAATGAGATCCTGAAATCTTCAACTTTTCTCTACAGAATATAGTTTTTACATTGTAACAGTTATTTAGCTAGTAAAGTAGACAGGAGTATGCTAACATGAGTTATTGTAAAACTTGTTTTCTGGTATGAAGTCTGTTGGGAATCCCAAAGAAATGGCGAGACAATATTTTAGTTTTCTGTCTCAGGTACCCTAGTGATGTTCCCTTTTAAAGACAGGACATTGCTTTAGGTTGTCATGCTAATGTATGGTAAAATACTGTTTTAAGTCATTGCTGTTAGAAATACGATAGTGTAAAATTATAGAAATGTATGTCTCTTTTCCAGCAGATTAATCTTTCTGAATTTTATTTCAGTACTGGTTTGTGCATTTTTTTCTGAGTTTGGTAGAAGTATAATGTTGCAATTTTAATTGTGCCCTTTGAATTTAAGGATTTGTATGCTTGCTTATATTGAGGATTTTATCCTCTTATCTTTACCTAATCTATCTAAAAGCTTTGTATTGTGTTAAGGGATGATAAACTTTTTCCTTTTCTTATTTGTCCCAGGAAAGAGAATAAAATAGTCTCTTATCATGAAATTAAGCTTGAAGTTTTATTCATTCTTTTGTTCTTGCCAGTTTCTGTGGAAAAAGTCCACATCTGCATTTTTAAATTAGCCCTGCCCATAACCCACATTTTAGTATTTTTGCAGGGAAAGCATTAAAAGATTGGAATGGGAAAAATTTTAATCCTTCTCAAATATGAGGTTGTCTTATCCTGTACCACTTTATCTGCATAAAATTGGTCTTCTGCTCTTCTAAAAGTTGGACAGTTTTCGTTAACTGAGGATCTTTGGCTTTGTTATATAGTGGTATACCTCCTTTATCTTTCAGTTGATAAATATTCAGACCTTCACATATACTTCTCTTATGAAATTGTTGAAAGCTGCCCCATACATCTTCATAAAACTGAAGTTTTTAGCTTTGTATTTTTCACTTCCTGAAAACATCTGATTCCTTGCCATGGCTATGACTAGAAAAAATAAAATTACTTGTATAAGCTGGAGAGAGTAACAAATAGCTATAATATAACCATTATTTTTACTTAAATGAAAACCACGGGAAACATCAAATTATCTTACAAATATTGATCACCATATTTGTTTTGCAGTATTTCTCAGATGTCTTTGATCTTGGTTCCTATATACCTATGTATCAAATTTAATTATGAAAATGCCAACATTCCATAAGGCGTTTTGGGGCTTTTTTGGAGGGGGGGAAAGGAGTTATTTGAGAGGGGTTTTGTTGAAAAGATCAGTTTAATAGGGCCACATGTATTCCTTTTTTATCACATGTAGAAGCAACACCTCTCAGCAATGTGAAAGGATAACTGGTAAACATTATCTTTATTGGTTGATGCTTATTGGTTCTTGTTTAACTAGTGGGGTTGGAACAGATCTCTGCCCAGCACGTGAAGGGGGCTGCTTCAGTCCCGCAGGGCCTGCTGCAGACACGGGTGATTCAGCCCAGCCAGAGTAGCTCTTTTCCATGGTGGGTCTGGGCTCACCACAGGCAGGAGCTGCTCCAGATTTCTTCTCTCCCCCGCCCCCCCTTCCCTTTAATCAGTTAATTGATTAAGCATCATGTTATCTGGTTAAGCAGTTATTTTACATCCTACCTAACCCTTACTACACAATTGTACTCCTAGAATGAAAATTTGAATTTAAAATTGTTTAGCCATTGTTGCAAAGATAATCTTCCAAATAGCAGGAATATAAATTGAAGCATAATTAGGTTCCTGAGCTTGCAAACAGCATGGAACAAAAACTGCTTACATTCATTACAATAGGATATTAACTCTCTAGAATCTAGTCATGACAATTTACATATAGAAGGGTTGAACCTTTCTAGTCTGGAACCCTCAGGACCTGACCTGTTCCAAACAAGAGAATTTTCTGGAGCACAGGAGGTGAATATTGTCTAGCAGCATTACCAACACTTCCACGGATTACTGTGCTTTTAGAGGACATTGGGGGGTAAATTAGACCTAAATAACAGCATAGAACACTAAGAGCTAGATTGGTGGCTGTAAACAAACTTTGAGACCATGGGAAACTTGGCCATACCCTTGAAAAGTGGACATCCAAGTAACTAAAATCATTCTGGATTACATGTTTCTGGATGAGAGAGTTGTGGATTAGAGAGGTTCAACCTGTGTTAACAAACTAATCTGATAACTTCACAAACTAGTACCTCTGACGCCTTTTGGAGTGCAAAACCTACCACTGGTTTTCACTCAGCTGCTAAATCCTCTTGTTCCTTTTGATGACTTTTTATGATGAAGCTTTTATATTGAAATTATCAGGGCTTGACAAGTGGTGGCGAGCCCCGCTTGCCAGCTGCGCAGCTTGGCGTGCTGCGTATGCGCTGATCGCGCTGCAGCGCCATGCCGGGCTAAAATCTACTCACCATGGGCGAGTAGATTGCCCTAATTGTCGAGC